GCCGATCCTTGGGCCCCTTCTTTGGCAAGGGAGTCGGCCCCTTCTTTGGCAAGGGAGTCTGTGATGGAATTTGCCTCCCTCCAAGTATGCCTCCAGACAATTTGCAAATCCGAACAATGACAGAAAATTTCGTCAAAAAGGTGATCAAGCCTCCACGTACACGGGGCTACAATGGAGGTCCACGAGATGACATTAACGGAGTCTCCTTAGATGATCAACAAGTTGCCCATGCCCTGTTGAAATTTCTTAGGCCAGTGAGAAGGGCCTCTGCTGCTGCCTGGTTAGATAAGGAGCAGCCTATGGAATGCGCGACGGACCAGAGAGCGGCCAGCACTATTGCGGAAGATCCCTCCAACTCCCAATGGGCCGGGGTTGCCTAAGGAGCACCCATCGAAGTTGAACTTTATTTCGCATAAGGCGAGAGGGGACCAGAAAGAGGCTGACGGATTTGAGAAGGCCTTAGGTGAAGAAGGGCTTCCAAATTTGATGGAAATCTGTGAGGGAGAAGTGCTTGAAAGGTTTTGCGTTGGTAGCCCAAAAGATGACAAGGGAACGCACTTTTTCCAGGAGGGTGTCGGTATTTGAAAATCTCCCCTAAAAGTTCTTTGGTTCCATTCCAGCCAGAGGATCTAAAGGATTGCAGCTACCGAGGCTCTCCATAAAAGAATGCCTAATTTGGAACATGGAGGAGAAGGGTAGAAGAAAAAAGCTGGGGAATGGACTGCAGGGTGTCCCAGAACCACCCGTAAAGCTTGAGAATAAAACCCCAGAGGTGGGAAGCGAGCTCACAATGCCAAGAGGGTTGAGCGATGGTTTCGGCTTCATTTAGGCACATGATGCACCGGTTGGGGATTTGCACACCCCTTCTTTGTAGATGATCTACAGTTAAGACTCTTTCATGAGTAGCCACCCAATTAAAGAACTGAATTCTTATTGGTATCATTGAGGTCCAAACTTTAGATGCTGGAAACATATGGGAAAATGTAATCTGAGGAGACCTAAGAAGGGCATGTAGAAAGATGACACTAAAAACACACCGGAGAGGAAGGGGGTCCATACTAACTTGTCGAGGCCAAGAGGAGGGAGAAAGAAAGAGTGGAGGGCCTGCAATTCAAGAAAGGCTGGCATTTCTACGTCATTTGGAGGCCTTCTGAATTTTGGATACCAAATCCCTTCATGGGGAGAGGAGGGCTTGAAATTCTCGGCAATGGGGGATAAAGGGTTGTGTACCAAAAGGAAGAGGGTAGGAAAAGCCTCCCTTAGAGGGGTATGACCAATCTATATGTCCGTCCAAAAGGCAATTCTGCTTCCCTCTCTCGGACAAAAGTGAATGTTGGCTAAGAAGCAATGAAGGCAGGATAGGAAACCCTTCCAAAGACTTGAGGCATTGTAGGGGACCCTGCAACTTCTTGCCATAGATGACCCCTTTGGACTGCATATCTCCACCACCACTTGCTGATAAGAGCAACATTGGTGGCTCTAATACCTAAACCCCCTCGGGATATTGGGATACAAACTGTTTCCCAAGCTACAAGGTGATATCTCCTTTCATTCCCGACCAGAGGAAACTTCTCATGAGTTGTTCAACGCGGTTAGCCATTGAGGCCAAGATCATGGAGATGGACATTTGGTAGATAGGGATGCTAGAGAGGATAGCCTTGATAAGGATGAGCCTCCCTGCCGGGAAAGAAATCTGCCTTTCCGCCCCGCAAATCTCCTGTCAAACTTGCCGATTATGTGGGCTCACTAACTAGATTTAGATTTGCCGATAAACACGGGGTAATCCTAAGTAGCAAGAGGGCAAGGATTACGCTTTACAGCCCCAAAGGTTGGCAAAATGGGTAATAGATTCAAGACTCATGGCTACCCCCCATGATGGTGGTCTTGGAAAGATTAACTTTAAAACCCGTGGTCCATTGGAAGCACCTTAGGAAAATCCAATTTTGAACCATATAGTGGAGAATCCAATTATCAGATTTTGAACCATACAGTGGAGAATCCAATTCATCACTGTGTTGCTTACTCTGGCAGTATTCTGAAGCGAATTTCATATATACCTGCAATAAACTCCAAATCCCCTAAAATATGGATAGCAAGTTCCTGAGACACTGCTCTATCATCCCACCAATTTTGAGGTCGACTGATGTCATAAGGCCTCTGCTACCGCAGTGTGGCATTTTACAACCATATACAGATATTACTGAACAAATGCAAACCGCAGCGAATTAATTTGAGCCCCCTATTGGTATTGAAACTGAACAAAACTTAGTAATAGGTTCCTGAGACACTGCTCTATCTACCAAGTTTAATCTCAAAATGAGATAGACTGGGTGTCTGAGTTGACCACGATGAGGCATTCTGAGACCATATATTGACCGCAATGAACACTGTTGGATTATATTTGAAACCTAGGTGACTCCAAAAATCACCCAAAGCAGACATTTACAATAGAGACAAACGGGCCCACAAATGCCGGATGAAATTTGCAACTGTAAGGCAAACTTTAAAGTCTCAGTGTAAACTAAATTAACCTATGAAATCAAAATTTATCATGGAAAAGAAAGCTTGACATAGATTTAGCATCATTTCAGTGAACATTGTGTCAATGTCCAACCCCAAGAAATGTTACATGCAAGTAGAATGAAGTCATCTACAATTCAAGCCCAGATTCATAACTTCTAAGAACAAGTAATGGCACCTAAGAAAATTAGCCTTTAATAGGCATCAAACAGAAATCATTTTTCGTAAACAGAGAATATACTTTTAGCCATAAATAACAAAATAAATATTTTTTTCTCTCAGTACAACCAAATAACAACTGAAAGTATTAATACTAATAAAACATTGCACCACTGAATAAATATACATACAATTGGAGTTCATTGGCAAAAAAATACCAAAAAATTTAAAAGATAATGAGAAATTCCAAAGGGAGCTTCAGGTTTCCTTCTTGAAGATCCTCTCATTAAATACACTAACATCTCTAGTGAAAAGCCACACAATTTATAAAATCCTAAACACTGCATTGCAAAGGAAGAAAGAAATTTAAATATATGAATTTAGTGCTACAAAACGACCTCTTTAGCTAACAAACAATAGTGATATCATACCACAAATGTAGTAAGAGTCTCATAGCTTGATAACCAGTCCTTCTGAGAATACTTGGGAACGATTGCGAGTAGTGTTACCAAATGTTCAGATGTTATAATATCCTCTGGTTTCACTATATCAGAGAGATCACGCACAGCTAAGCTGAAATAAACAAAAAATTCACTCTCATTTCATAATTAACTAAAAAAACACTACAACATCAAAAGAGGCATAATACACGAAAATAACATCCAGTTAATATCAATGGGTGCAAGAGTGAACAAGCTCTTCGTGCATCTCCTAAAAAGCAGTATGCTGGATCCTTGTAGACTTGGACATCTAGCTTGTGTGAGCATTCATTTGCATGAGAAAATACAACTAATTCAGACCTACCTCCCACTTTGCTTTCTCTTGATCGCATTCAGCTGACTGCGAACATTGTTGAACTCCGCCACACGCACCTACACAAATCAAGCTTGTGAACAAGAAGGCAGACTTAAGGGCATATACATAAAGTTATTGGTTGAAACAATTTTGTTTTACTTTTTTACTTTTTTTATTATGAGTAGCAAACTAAAATTCTTATATCAGTTTGTATAAAATGCCCTCCAAACATTCACCAGTCTCTCATATTATCGGAACTCTATCAACGGCAATCATCCCCATTCAGTCTTATATCTCTCTCGCAACTCATTGTAATGATGTTGTCATGCCTTTCTACTGATTCTTTGTTTTATTAGTCTGTTTAATTCGTATGTCTATATAGATGCCTTAACTCTTATGCAATAAGTCATAACCAATTCATAGTGAGTGCAAACCAGATTTTTTTTTTTTTCTCTGAAAATCTCAAAACCAACCAAACCTGATTTTGTTACATCATCAAGATTGCGTCCATACCTCTTTATCTTAGTTATGGACAACTTAACTAGACACTTACAAGATGAAGTACCGTGGTGCATGCTGTTAGCAGATGGCATAGTTTTGATCAATGAGACCCGAAACGGTGTCAACGCAAAGTTAGAACTTTGGAGGGATGCTCTAGAATCTAAAAGTTTTAAAATTAGCCGGATTAAGATGGAGTATATGGGATGCAAGTTTAGTAATGAGAAGAGACGAGGAAGTAGTTAAGATCGATATCTTGGGTCGATAATCCAGGAAAATGGAGAGATTGAAGAAGATGTCGCACATAGAATTAGAGATGGGTGCACAAAGTGAAGATGTGCAATCGAAATTTTATGTGATCGCCGCATGCCAATGAAGTTGAAGGGCAAGTTCTATAGGACAGCTATGAGACCAGCTTTGCTCTATGGGCCAGAATGTTGGCGGTCAAAAAACAATATACTTATAAAATGAGTATAGCGGAGATGAGGATGTTGAGATTGATGTGTGACAAAACAAGAGAGGATAGATTCGAAATGAATACATTCGATAAAATTTAGGTGTGGCACCAATAGGCGATCAGATGAGAGAGAGTAGATTTAGGTGGGATGGCCATGTCTGGCGCAGACCCAGTACAGTACCTATTAGGAGGTACGAATTAGTTCAAGTGTAAAGCTCAAAAATGATAAGGGGTAAGCCTAAAGGACATGGTTGGAAGTAGTGAGAAAGTTATGGGGACTTATGGCTTCTCTAAGGGTATAGCCCTTAATAGAGCATCGAACCAGGATTTGTATAGTCGGCCCCAATTAGTTGGGAAAAGGCCTTGACGATGATGAAGATCATAGTTTTGAAAACTATGATAGTTTGCTATTCTATTTTCAATTTTTAGACTATCAAAACAAGCAAGTAATAAAATTAAAATGATCTTAAAAAAATCAATTTAAGGATCCATTTACTAGTCAATGTCGAAATTTATGGATAGCTTTGTTCAATCATCATACTTTTGAAATAATGATTTTTTTCCAACTTAAGGATAAAAATTATAACTTTGTTCCATCATCACACCTTTAAAATGTGTAACATAGCTTGCCATTCTATTCTCGATCTACAGACTCTCAAAAAAATCAAATAATTATTAAACCATCAAAAAATATGTTTAAAAAGTATAAAAGATCAAGTTAAGAGATTGATTACTAGTTAATACTGAAATTAACTTAAAGTGTCATAACAAGGAAAAAGTAGAAATTACCTTAAGATCATCTTCAATCCTGGACACATGAGCAAGAATATTGTCGACAATCTCTCTGAGAGGTGACATAGTGGGGTACTTAGCTTCATCCCACACAAACCTGGCATCAAAAACCAGATTTAAACTAGCACTCATCATTTGCAAGCCAATAAATATAACCAAAAAATTTCAAAAACAATGGAAAATGCCTAAAAAGCAATTGAATGAATAAGAGATTATTTTATAGAAGCAAATTTACCTTGTAATATAAGAATCCACTGGAACTCCATCAACTGTGAGAGTGCCGGTCTCTACACCTGAACTCCTCTCCAATTCTTCAATTTGACGCCTTAGTTTATGCGAAACACCTTCCACAAAACTGTTCGACTATCCATATATTTCACCAATTCCCCACAATAAGTACAGATAAATAATCAATAAATCCAGCATTTTCTTATATGATTTAATTCACAGAGAAAGAGATTCTACCGTAGTTACTCATTCACCGGAACAAAGGACAGAGAAAGAGAAAGATTGACATTTTACCTTGTTAATTCATTCACTGGAGAGAGAGAGAGGGAGGGAGCAGAATTATGCCATAAGCAGTCACTTACTGAATAAGAGGGAGAAGAGCGACAAAGAAAGAGAATAATCAGAATATCAGATATCTGAGAACCTATTCTTTCTTACCTTTACGAGATCATCGCTCAATGCGAGAAGAGAATCGAGGGTACCAACCCTAAGGTCTGGTATATTGAACTGCATAAATTACCCATTCTCAGTTCTTACAGCAAATAAACCCTAAATCACATCAAAAACCCCATCAAAAAATTCTCAGTTCTTACAGAAAAATAAACCCTAAATATATATAAAAAATTTAAATATTCAATTAACGATTTTCTCTATCTAAATGCAGATCTACCAGGAATCAATTCGCTCAATGTATCTCCCTCTCTAATTCCCTCTTTAATTCCAGATCTAGAGATAGAAAGTATCATACCCTATAAAGAGGAGTGTCAAAGGCATGCCTTGAGATCGATTCCCGTAATCTACTCCATAAAGAAGACGCTGAGTTCTCAACCGGAAGCGATATCACCCAGTAACGCGTCGCCATGGTTAGGGTTTTGAAGGTTCAAATTATGAAGGAAACGCAGACACAGAAGAGAGAGTCGAGCTCAGATTCTCTCGCCTTGCACTGAAAATCAACAAAGACGATGAGCAGCACTGAGTTTTATCTGTGATTTTACGGACTGTGGATCATGGTTAGACTCCCTTGAGTGCAATAACGGGGTCCTATCATTTCGGAGCATTTCGTAGTAAAATTTCGTTTCGGCTTTCGGAGCAGTATGAAGATGGGTGACTGGAGACGATGGCTTGAAAGTTTGAACCGAAATTTCGTTCTGTTTCGGGGGTCGGAACTCCGACTTATTTCAGAATTCGGTGCGCACTAATTTAACGGTGGGCAGGACTCAAGAGGTGCGGATTTTTTTGTTTCGAGGGGTTGAAATAATAAAGGAAAAATTGCATAAAGGCTGATTATCCTAGAATGCTTTTTCAAACGATCACCTGCTAAATTTAATGGTGATCCAATGGGGTCTTACACATATTGATGGCGAATATTACTATAGAATAATTGCTATTGTATAAAACCCCAAAACATACTTTCTATTCAATTTACCCCACCAAACCTTTTTTAGTATTTGCCCTTTAAAATCTATGTTTACTAGCAAAAACCCCAATACAAAAAAAAAATTTCTTTTTTTACGAAAATTCCAATACATAACGAATCCTTTTCGAATTCCAATAATAAAAAATGCCGGATCGCACTTGTACAGACTGCTCATTTCAAAACTCGAGATTGCCACTTAAAAACACCGAATTGCCCCCCTTCAAACTGACCTACCACCGTTTCAAAACATTGGTCTACCCCTTCAAAATGCTGGACCGTTCTTTTAAAACGGGATTGCTTATTTTTCAAATAACATAATCCCCGAACCTCCACATTGAAAAGCCTTTTAAAATGGGATTGCTTATTTTTCGAATAACATAATCCCCGAACCTCCACATTGAAAAGCCCAAACTACCACACTGAAAAGCCAGACCGCCTATTTGAGCAAAATAATTGGCCCCTTCCAAATGTTGGACCCCAAGCCTCTTCCAAATGCTAGACCGTCCTCTCCAGATAAGAGAAAGGTATTTTCGTCAAAAAAAAAATGAACCTTTTTTTTTTTAAGGTAGTTGGTAAGGAACATGGTTTTTAAGATGAAGTTGACAGGAAAAGTTAGGTTGGGGTAAATTGATTAGAAAATTCGTTTTGGGGATTTTATACAATTTTTCCAATAATAAAAGAAAATAGTTTGATAGGGGCTTCACTCTATCAAACTAACCAAGGAAAGCCCAACCTCATAACTAATCAAAAATTACAATATAAGCATTGAAAAACCTTTAAGTAGATCATATAGGCTTGAACATTATGGTTGTGAAAAAAAATAGGATTTCAAGTTCTAAAAATACTGTATATTGTAACAAATTATCGAGACCGTCCATTTCGCTCTAAAAATAAGTATTTATAGATCCATAAGATCTGTATATTTTATGAGTTTCAAATTTTACTGTTAATGTTGGAAATTGATTTTAGAGCCATTATAGAGATTTCCCTTGTCAAAAGTGCTTTCCGAGTGTAGATTTGAAGTGAGGCTTATTTTATTTTTACAAAGCCTAAGCCTTATAGAAACTTCATCCAATAATAAAATATGGATAAAACAAAATTATACAGAAAGGAGGTTAGAGGGGGTGGAACAGGGCTATAAGAAAACATGCTTAAAGAAAAAGAATAAATATTATAAAAAAGGGGAATGGGACTAAGCCTCCAGGAAAAAATAATAAATATTATATAAAAAGGGCTTTTAGGGGAGTGGGACTAGGCGGGGTCCTGGCGGGATACTCAATTCCTGATGTTATTCGCTGGGTTTAACGCACTGGTAATTATAATATCACTTTATGTGGAATTATGAAATGTTAAATTTTTTGGTTCTGGTATTTGTTATGATTCATAATATAATTATAGTTATGGGCATTATTTTTATTTCGAAATGATTTCTATTTAACATTTCTTAAATCATTAAAATCGGTCAAAATTACATGATTATTATAAATTTTAAACATAAAATTCAGAATGGACCAATATTTTTATTTTATTTTAGTATTTACTATTCACAAGTAAAAATACTATAATCAATAAATTATTACACTATGAATATTTATTATGGTGATTCATAACATGATGGTAATTGAAATTTAAATTCAACAAAAAGTCACGATCAACATTATTATCTATAAAATGAGCATTGTTATTATCCAAAAATAATTTATGAGTAATGCTTCATATATATATATATATAAATGCTTCATTTATAAATTAAAAATGATCTAGAATCTGAATTTAATATCAGCCATTATTCTTATTATAATTTTGCAAATCTAACTTTTACCGAAAAGGCGAACATGTTAAAATTCAGAATTTTGCACTGATATTGCATTGTTGTATTTAGTAAAAATAGTTCACATATTAAAAAATGAATTAAAAATTTATTAAAACTATAATTTATGAGGGAAAAATATTCTCATATTTTGTTACAAGTAATCTTGACCGCTATTTCTACATAATATAAATCAACATTGAGGGTAGAATACAATATATGTCATTCATTTGGATGAGATGCCTAATAAAAGAGTAAAGATTAAGATAGTTAGTTTATTAGGTTTTACTAAGTTTGGAGTGACAAATTAGAGATTAACATTTTCAAAGACTAAAAAATATATGATAGTTGATTATAAAGGTATTATAAATATAAGATTTTTGTTCTAAACACCTAAAGTCACGAGCGATAACTTTATCTATTTATTTCCTTTTTTTTTTTTTTTTTTGACAATATTCTATCATTTTATTAATAACTTTATCTATTTCTTCATTATCTATATTGATACTGATATAGGGCAAGTTTATTTTCCTTTACAATATTAGGGCACATGCAGAGTGTGCATGACACACACACCACATCACGTTGTGATGATCATAGTTACACATACACACACCCACATCACGTTGTGATGATCAAAGTTACACATACACACGCCCACATCACGTTGTGATGATCATGTAACTAACAAAAAGTGGCTCATCGGAATCATGCATTCTTTAGAAACTTGAGAGAGATATTCAAGATAAGGAAATTGATATTGTATGGTTATAAATGTCATATAGCTCACAAGTTTGGAATCATGCATTGTCTAGAATCTTGAGACGAGTATTCAAAATATTGAAACTGATATTGTATAGTTATATACCTCAAAAATATAAGCACAACCAATATTAATGAAGATTGCACAAGAAAAAGTTTAATGTGAACCATTCTTTTTTTTTTGATAATTCGGTGGCGATGACAAGCTAAAAAATATAAGCACAACCAATATTAATGAAGATTGCACGAGAAAAGGTTTTTATATTAACATCTTTATTTTTTAAGTAATTCAGTGGAGATGACAAGTCCCTACCCGTTTTCTAAAAACTTAGTGGTTTTTTAAAGTATTAGGTGAGAATGGGAGCTCAGATTTTAACTGGGCACAGGTTGTGCCATCCACCACAACCCCAAATTTATATGAACCATTTGGTCATGACTAACTACCATATAGTTCATTGTAGTGCCAATCATGATACTTTCACCATATATTCAATTAATTGAATTTTTGCATCAATACGCTCCCTCCATCGTCATCTAAGGCAATCAATGATCTCACCGTTATGGAGTTATATTAATCATATAAATCATTGGAGTTATATTAATCATATAAATCATATTATGCAAGAGATAGCTCATAAAACATTTTAAAATTGATACGAGAGAGAGAGAGTTGTACAAATATAATAATTACACTGTGAATGTTCTTTGTATAGGTGTAAACTTCCAACCGTCCCACAAGATGATAGTTTTTAGCAGGAAACTGGTGCGATATCTTGAAATCAACTTTCAAGCCATCTTATGAAATTAAAAGGTTTTAAAATGTTGTGAATCAATTAGATCTATAAACACTTGAAAATATTGAAAACATATAATCCAAATAATGTGTTACAAGGAGCAATATTTTTCGGGCTTGAAATTTTTTTTTCTGCAACCATATATCTCAACGTTGAAGGATAAATTGGAAGCTTTAGGTGTGTCTTACTTATATAGTATGAAGTTCACAAATTAAATAAATTTGTGAAAATATTAATTGAAAGGTTGAAACATCTTGCAATATCATTAAATGGGTCAAAATTATGATAATTTATATTTAAGGGTTTTTTTAAAAAAATTATATTTCAACTAAGTGCCTCTTAAAATTTCAAAATTGCCTCTATTCGTGGTTGAGAAGCAAGATTTTTCGGGTGTTTTGATAATTTTATCCCTTAGCATAGAGACAGGAAAAACTCTTTGAATGTAAATTTATCAAAATATCCCCGGTTGTTAAGGTCTTCCGCTTAGAATAGGGGCACTTTGAGAGCTTTTTAAGTTTTTTTTACGAGAAAATACTTGATTAAAGTATAATTTAAAGCAAACCTTCAAATGTGAATTGTAATTAGTAGTATTAGAAAGGGTTTCTACCCCTTAATTGATATTCATATAACTTTTGTCTAGTATGTTAACCCAATACATTGCTATTAAGAAACTAGCTTAAAATAAATAATACTCTCTAAAGTTTTAGAATTGTCATAAAGTTATAAAGTTTGGATATATACTAATTTAATCACACGTAATCATATCTTAACTTGGTTTTGTTTTAAAATTCAAGTTTCTTCAATGTTAATATATTTGTATATTATTAAATGGGAGCATCATTTATTTTCATTTGTTTTTTAGTTAATTGATTACTTTATGCTTATCAAAAACTCCAATGAATATCACGAGGTACCTTAAATCCTTATATTTAATTTATGGGTTTGTCAACAAGGCCATTTATCTTTTGTATGTGGAGGTCACAATTATTTTTGTCTCTTAAATTTCAAAATGGGTGGTTGTAAGAATGTCATGATTGTGACTTCCATGTATAAAAGATAAATGGTCTTTTTGTAAACAATCCTTTAATTTAGTTTAAGCCAAATACATGGCTAGCATCACCGGAAAAGAAAAGTATTAATTATATCATGTTAATAGTATGTTATTTAATTTTACATCATTGTGTTTTATCGCTATAATGAATAGCTTATTTTATATTTTATGTAAATATCTCGATTTTTTGTATTTTTTATCCTCAAATTATCTTCTAATTGGACACCGGATGTCTAAATCGAGACTTTTTTAAGTGGGAGATAGGTTTGGGTGTTCGACAACTCCTCTTGTTATTATTATTTTTGTAAGTAACCAG